TTATAAGCTAGTGACAAATTCAGAGATGTCCAACTAGAGGTCACTTATCTAAAAGCATTACTGTGAAGATTTACTGGATTTTTGGTAACCTTAATTTCCATTTTAATGATTTTCTTCCACTCTGACTGCACCACCCCTATTTTTGATGTCAGAGAATCATGATGCTAGCAACATTTTAAAACAGCTGATTAAAGAAAGACTTATGATTCCCTCAGCATGCCTTTCTCCAGTTACTGCTCAATCATTGTTTATGGCTAAGCATTAATGTTGATGTCCAGTTATGCCTCTGCCTGCCACAGGACACCAGCTTGCTCTGATGTCTTCCAATTTTTTCTTAGCTTTTGTGTACCTAAAAATACGTGTTCTCTCTCTCCCCCACACAGTCAAGTCTTCTCTTTTCCATCCTTTTAAATTCTCTCTCCTTATTAATGATAATTTCTTACAGGTAGATCAAGTAAAGTGCAATGAATAACAGTAACTATATGTATCCTAAAAGTTCTCTTGATTCCTTCAAAACTGTGTTAAGACTACACCCTGACAAAACACTGATAAGAGATTTAGGGGGCGTATAGAATGAGCACATTCTGTAGAGACTCTGAATATTTGTAACAGACTAACAGGAATTGTTTCTAATAATTTTAAAGTTTGTTGAAAGCTTCCAATATGATTTAAACAATCTGGGTAAAGGGGAATTTAGCATAAGTAAGTTTTAAACTTACCTTTTGTTGTTGTTTTATTACAGGCCCTGAAGTGGAGACATTCTGTGAATCACTGATTCCAATTGTGTGTGACCTACCAGTGGACAATTCTGGATGCGGCCTATAAAATGTAGGATAGCTTCTCCGCTACTATGAGGTTTCCAAAGGGTTTTTAATTATTTTTAAGAGGAGAGATAAATGTATTACAAGTATTAAACACTTTAGAAAATTGCATAATACTTGAGAACACACAGTCAGGCTCCTGTTCTCTAAGCATCATTCCCTAGTGATTTTCAATAATGAGTGCAAAGTCACTAACAGCATATGTGATGCACTAAGAGCATGAGAGCCAATAAGAGGTCTGCACATAGGACCTTAAAAGGAGCTACAAACTAATGCATAAGTTACTGAGCATTTAGTTTCCCTGCAAAGCAACTTGCTCTCTGAAGTCAGAGAATATAGGGTTTTTGGAGGTTGCAGCATGTAGAGGTAGAAGTGGTACAAGTTCTCTCTACTTCTGTAGAATACCTTTATTTTTGATCTCTGGGGAACAATGAAATCAGGTCCATTTAAATCAGATTAAAGTAATATTTTATTTCAGAAAATGCACATCAATGGCTCATGCCAAAGTGTTATGATTTTGCCAGAGGTTAAATATTTTTACCTGTTCTAATCTTTTATGTAAGGTGTCCAGGAGCATCTACGATGGTTAGGCACCTAATGAAGTTACTATTACAATGTGCAGACTATATTTTTTATACTACCAAATACTAACAATATTGTTATTTAATATTTATGTAACTACAGCTCTCAGAGATCACAGTCAGGAGCAGGTCTTGTTTTGTTTGTACAGCACTTAACACAATCCAAAACACCACAACACCCAAAAAAACCCCACACAAAGACATGGCCTCTGCCTTGAAAAGCTATTTAAAAAAAAAAAGAAATCTTGCACAACATCCTTAAATTTTGTGAAACATCTGAACATCATTTGAAAGACTACACAGGAAGCTTCTTTGAAGGAGGTTCTATAGAAGGCATCTCACCTACTGAACTGTAGCTGTTTTTACACTAAACAGTGACACAGCGAGTGCCTTGAAGTTTACTTTTGAAGCTAATGACCTCCCCTTCCGTTATTAAAACTGTATTTATAGGGCAACAGTCAAAAATAAAATTGGAGACTAACCTGGAGTTTGCCCAAAGGAAAACCAAGGTTTATACTTGGCAGTACAATATAAATCTTCCTTGCTGGCGCTTTACTTTCCTAATGCTTCGAATGACTGTTTTTTCCAATAGTGTTAATGGAGTCATCATGGAAAGCTAACAAGGGAATCCAGAAGATTCAGATGCTTTCCACTTTGGGATTAAAAGCCATCTTGAAAATTAAGTCTACCAGGGCAAACTCCTCTCTGCTAAGAAAAAGGTCATTAGAGCCATGCTAACAGGAATCCTTCTATTCTGTTTAATTTAGAACACATCTGCCTACACTACAAACTTTTGCCACCAAAAGTTACATTAGCATAAATCTCCTGCAGTTAGTATATTGCTTGTGCATGTACACACTTGGCTCCTTGCGTGGGCACTGTACACATTCACCAGAAGTGCTTGTTTCAATGCATAGTGCTATGCACCATGGGTAGGTATCCCAATGTGCAACCCGCTACCGTCCAGTGCACTCTCTTTTGGGGTTTCAGGAATACATGGTGGGGCAGCAATGAGTTGCACAGGGGTGATTGGCAGCAAGGGGTTAACTTCCCAGCACACAACTTTCTCCACCCCATAGTGTCATTCCTATCCCATAATTTTCATGCTTATTTTGAAAATCCCACAACCCCACATGGGACTTGGCATTGTCCACCATTGCTGACAGAAGCATAGAGCTTGCACAGATCTACTCTATAATCATAAGTGCTGCAAGCACAGGATGCATGATCCTCCAGTATTTGCTGAGCCACAAGAAGAGCTTCAGAGAACATGAGGATTTCCTGGAGGTCAGATTGCTTGGGACATAGCAAGTACTAACTCAAGATTGTTGGTGGCATTCATGGAGCAGCTGTATATGGTGGAGTGCCTCTTCTGGGCCTGAGAAACAAGCACTGACTGTGGGATTGCATCAGAATGCGAACTTGGGCTGATGAGCGGTGGCTGTAGAACTTTTGGATGCACAAGGCCACATTCCTGGATTTGTGTGTTGAGCTCATCCCAGCCCTCCAGCGCAGGGACACCAGGATGAGACCTGCGCTCACCGTGGGGGTTGATGTCATGCAACTGTATGGGGCTATTAATCATCTCCTGTGTGATAGTGTCCACCCACCACAGCGGTGCCTCCTGCTGGCTGTCACAGGGATTAGCTCTGCCAGCCGTGCACCCTCTCCTGGTGGTGCCTCTCCCATCGTCTTCTCCGCCTGCACACCGGCTTAAGTCCAAGTACGGCAGCACCCTCTTCATAACCTGGCCCTCTGGCCATGTCACAATCTGTGTTTCCCCCTTCCGGGGGTAGGTATACTGTCCACCACTGGCGAACTGGGGGAGGGGGGAATGACCCGGGCCCACCCAGTTTTTTGGGTCCCAACCCAGGGAACCTGTAGATAGCCTCCTGCTGCATCTCTAACTTCGTTCAATGCTGCTTCAATTCCCTGGGCCACTTCTCTGCAGCCCCAGCACCTTCTTCACCCTTTCCTCAGGTCATTCACCCAGCAAGTCCTAGCAGCCAGCCAGGAGCTCCCTCTTGCTTCCCCAGTCCCTATCAGCAACTGTTCTATCCAAGGTGCTACCCTTGCTGCAGCTTGCTAGGAACACAGTCCTCACTCCTTGAGCTCCCTACAGCAATTGACCCTGGTCTGCCCTGCAGCTCCTTTTGCACTAGTCCACTGGGCCCTGATTGGCTGCTTCGTGCAGCCTCGTTCCAATTGGCTGCTTCTTGCGTAGCCTCTCTAAGCTGCTTGGAGGACTCGCCTCCTCTGCTCCTTTCTGGGATGGGGTATGGCAGGCCAATCAGGCCTCCGTTAACCCCTTCCACTCCGGTGTGGGGTGAACACCCCATCACATGCAGGACTGAGGCTCTCGGCAATGTGCAGGACATAATGGATGGAGTTGCAACAATGGGGCTCCCAAACTGCGGTGGGAACACA